ATGGGGATTTCCCCGTTTACTGTAATTCACTTTGTGTAATAAAAAAAATCAATATGTTTTCCCCATTTACCGTATTGTCCACCTGTTATTTTCTTCAACATCCTAAAGGAAGATTTTAAACTGTTTCGACGTGGACTGACCATCATTAGCCGCGTCTGTTCAATCCCGCTGGAGTTGGTAATTAACCTGTGCGAACGTCATTTCAATGCATGTGTAATTTTTGCACATAAGATTCTGATCGCGGTCACACATCCGCTACAAACTTCCTTTTGTTCCTGTTCTTCAACTAGATTCCAATACCGTTATGTTCCCTCTCGAATAAACATACATCTTAACCCTACAGTATTCTCATTAGCGCGTATCCCAGTTAACAAAGAACAGGTTTTCACAGACTTTGCTAACAGTTTTGGGATTTAAATCTCTTTCTTATCATTATTTTTCATTTTCTCCCTCGCTCCAACCTGCATATTTTTAACTGAAATGTAGGCTTTATGCATACAGAAAATATCACAATACAATACAATACAGCTGAGTTTCATTCAATATTCTTTTACTAAAACAAAATTGTAATGATCTTTTAATCAACCTCAGTCAAAAGATGAGTTCCACCTACAGAATGTTCCCCGGCGATAGAAGTAGCCCTATTTGTATCGCTCTACGTGCCCATATTCTAACCACTTAAGTGATAAGTCGAACAATTTACAGAAACCTTAATGCATCACTAGTGGGCTTGACAAACTATTATTTAAGCTAGCACACACGCATCCCTTGTTTATATTTACCGCATAAACTTGATTCACCCATCATTTAAAATTCCGAAACTATTATTGCTACATTTAACACAAATACTTTTCAGTAGTGAGCAGTGTGAAGTATTTGTTTTTGATTTCATGAACCATCTATCTGTATCCCTGTTATGGGCATTATACGATCGTACAGACCATGTAAATTTACTGAACGTTAACATGTACACAACGTTATTAATCATATTGATGGTTCTGAGATACTCTAATGGTTTTATTCGTGCGAACTAATCCGTGAGAGTCATCGGTGAACTGAAATGAATCCGGTTCAGTAATACTTCCTTCAACTTATCATTTATTGATAGAAAAACCTCTTTTTCGCTAATTATTACACTATCGATCGATGTCGGAAACTAATTCTTAATGGTACCTTATCATTCAGTTCTCCTTAAGTGTTTGATCGGTTTCCGAAAGTGTCAACACTGTTCATGTCCATTCCCATCCTCCTGGTGAGGAGTACAGTTATTTAAATTTTTCACCCCTATGGGCGTGACCGGACAGGATCTTATAACGTTTCATCAACCCCAAGACCAGGCAGAGTAGGTGATATTCCTAGTTGTCCAGTTTAGGTGATTCATCCGTTAGATTTTACTTTTGATTAGAGTGAATATTTCTCTTAGCTAGAAATAAACACAAAAATATCAGTGAAAGTCAGGTGAAAACAAATGGTCAACTCACAAGAGAAAGACAACGAGTTTTAGCGAATGCCTTCTTTGACTGATCTTCCGTGCTCAAATGATACAGGAGATAGAGAATGACAGATCGATGCACATCATTTTCTGAAATTAGAATTGTAACATTAGTTGGTTATGACACCATTACTAATGACAGTTTCTCATCAGATCACAGTGAACTTGTTGCTGAAACCATTAGGGCTCTCACGCAGTGCTAAGGGGCCCGGAGACAACAATAATTGAGTAGAAATGGGTAAAATGTAACATAGTGACTATGAACACTTTCACCAAGCCGGGTAGCTTTCTTTGGAATTTTCCATCTCCTGTCATCCGTGTGCGTTTTTTACTGGTTCATACAATCAATAACATGAATGACTGGATATAATTTCCCTGAAAGCAAACGACCGGTTTTGTGGTTTATCGCTTATCTTTTCTCTTTCATTTTACTTCCTTTCATTGAATAAACAATGATACAATTTTCAGGAAAGGGGAAGTGGCCAATCAAAGTGCTGCCAAGGGGAAAGTCAGACGGTGGTGGTGGGGTTCGAACACACGTGCCGCAAGGTGGTAATTTGGTGACGTTATCACAAGGCCACCACCGCCCCATCAGGCGTGTATATTCGGTAAATGTTTATCATTTCATTCAAATACTTGTACCCAGGAAGTACATTTCAGTCACGACTACAGAACGTGCAACACCGGGTAAATTTATTTAATTTATTCAACGAGAAGCTATATCAGACCTCTTGAAGAAACCTCTGATGCGTGCAGTGAAGCGGACCTACAACGTAACCCGATTATCGTGTGTTTTCA